TCTTTCTTTCTTTCTTTCTTTCTTTCTTTCTTTCTTTCTTTCTTTCTTTCTTTCTTTCTTTCTTTCTGTCTTTCTGTCTTTCTTTCTGTCTTTCTTTCTTTCTGTCTTTCTTTCTTTCTGTCTTTCTTTCTTTCTGTCTTTCTTTCTTTCCTTCCTTCCTTCCTTCTTTCTTTTTTTTTAAATTTTTTTGGTCAGTCGTGGGGCTTGAACTCTGGGCCTGGGCGCTGTCCCTCAGCTCTTCAGCTCAAGGCGAGCACTCTACCACTTGAGCTACAGCCCCACTTCCGGTTTTCTGGTGGTTTATTGGAGATAGGAGTCTCACGGTCTCTGCTGCCCGGGCTGGCTTTGAACCGCGATCCTCAGATCTCAGCCTCCTGAGTAGCTAGGATTACAGGCGTGAGCCACCAGCGCCCGGCCCTTCCTCCCTCCCTCCCTCCCTCCCTCCCTCCCTCCTTTCTCTTTCTTTCTTTCTTTCCTTTCTTTCTTTCTTTCTTTCTTTCTTTCTTTCTTTCTTTCTTTCTTTCTTTCTTTCTTTCTTTCTTTCTTTCTTTCTTTCTTTCTTTCTTTCTTTCTTTCTTTCTTTCTTTCTTTCTTTCTTTCTTTCTTTCTTTCTTTCTTTCTCCCTCAGCTCTTCAGCTCAAGGCAAGCACTCTATCACTTGAGCCACAGCACAACTTCCAGTTTTCTAGTGGTTTTTTGGAGATAAGAGTCTCATGGACTTTCATGCCTGGGCTGGCTTTGTCAGATCTCAGCCTCCTCAGTAGCTAGGATTACAGGCATGAGCCACCGGTGCCTGGCTGGCTCAGTTTTCTTGTTGGGAAAGGAAGAGAAAGTTCATGTTGACCCTGGGAGCATTTGATGAGGCCTAAGGGTTCGAATATGCAAGACACTTTACATAATACCTGCCACATCATAGACACAATTTTAGTAGCTCCACTTACTAACTTGAGGATGAGGACCTTACACATCAAATAAAGGGGGCCTTCTGCATCTGTGGGTTTCTTACCCACAGATTCAACCACCTAGGGATTGAAAAGTATTTGAAAGGAATTCCATCTGTACTGAAGGTGTACAGGTTCTTTGCTTGCCATCATTCATTCCTTCAACTGTACAGTATAACAGCTACCTACACAGCACTCATGTTATATTGGACATCCATTGGGAATCTTGCAAAGGTGTAGAGAACATGGTGGAATTGAAACCCCTTGCTACAACTTCTTAAAGATAATTAAGAATAATGAATAAGTGAAGTATATGGAGGATGTGTGCAGATGCTTTGCTATTATAGAGAATGCACTGAGCATCATGAGATTTTGCTACGCATGGAGGATCCTGGATCCATTTCTGCACAGATCCTAGGGCACTGCACTATGGTTTTCTTTTTCCTCCTTTTCGAAAATTGTTACCATAAAGGTGATGGACAGACGGGTTACAGTTACATGGGTCAGGTAATAAGTACATTTCTTTTGGGACATTGTCACCCCTTCCTTTGCTCTTTCCCAGTTTTTCCCTTCCATCCCCATCCACAGGTTGTATAGTTCATTTTTAACATAGTGTCTAGAGAGTACCACTGCCCCATTTGTTCACCTTTTGTCCCTCTATTTCTGTACTCTCCACTTACCCTCCCAAATGAAGAAACAAGACAAAAAGAAAAGAAAACAAAAAAGCAACAAAATACCTCTTGTTTCATTTTCTAGAGGTCACATCGATAAATATGATTTTATATGATCAGATATACATAGGCATTGTGCCTCTGAGTTCCTCTCCCCTAAGAATATCCTCCTTTGGTCTTGCTGTATGTGAATGTTTACAGTCCTGTAGCTATGTTGGTTTTTAACTGGAAGGATCTTTGGAGAACAATTGTAACTTCTTTGATCACCCAGGTGCCCAAGGATGGGTGTGATTGATGCAAAGTGTCTTCACTGGGGATTGCAGATGCTAAACTCAAACAAGTTTGATGATGGCTGAGCCATGCGGATTTTACATGGTCATCTTCATCTACCTAGTGTTTAAGAGAGTTGTTGGAATTGGATTCAAAGAAATTAATTTTTCTCCCTTTATTTCTGTGTGTATTTATTTTGGGATTACATTGATAAATCAATACTAGCAGTAGGTCTGAAATAAATGTCACGGTTTTCTCTTTTATGTCTGATGCCCTTTCCTTTACTGGCTGGCCTGTGCTTCGGGATGGCTCGTATTGATTAGCTGATGTCAAATAAACTTTTGTCGGTCTATGAAAGTCCAATGTTGGCAGTGCCAAAATAAAATAAATGCATCTGGCTTGTCATACTGGTAGGAAGGGGAAAAGTAGGGACAGGAGATGGATGGTTGAAATGCATTGTCCACAGAAGTTCTGTGTACTTGTTCACAGACAAGTAGGGAGGGCTGGGAGCTGGCGAACTTGGTTTCCTCGTCAGTCATGTGGATACCACAAGAGGACCAGGTGGCTGCGTTATTCTGAGACTTCACACATGTCAGTTTCTCTACAATGGAAGCCCTCAGAAAGGCAACTTTTCTATGTCACTTAGGTTCATGAAAATCTCATGCCTCCAAGTATCAGTGTGTATACAATGGGAGAAATTCCACTAAACTCTACTAAATCACTCTGCCTAGGAGATCATTTAAGTACAAATGGCTCTTGTGGTGAATTCTCTGGTTGTCCATTTCCAATAATGGATATTGTTTCCCCTGTTACCGCTATAGTATAGGAGTTGGTCCTTCACCACAGTGAATGAGGCATGTCACACCCAGCTGAACCACAGTGTGATACACTGTATGTGACACACCGTATGATTTATGCGCTCTCTCTCTTTCTCTCTCCTTCTCTCTCTCTCTTTCTCTCATTGGTCATAGTATTTGAGTATTCTAAAAACTTTTCAACATTTTAATAAGTGAATGAGGAGGAAATGTTAAAATGTAACATATTTGACTCAGTACTTTGGTACTGTTTGGATGTGGTGAACTTGTGTGGTTTTGAAGCAGGAGCTGTGGCCTGGAGTTGTCATTTATCAGCTCATAAGCAAGTTTTCAAATCAGCTTTAGGAAAATAGTTTAGGTGTACACTTTAATAATATAGCAAAGTGTGGGTGGTTTGAACCTTATATAAGAAGGCCTTCCTGTACACAAATAAGAAAAAAAATGCTGTTAGACTAGAATTTATACCAGCATAAAAGAAAAGGAGGTGGGGAGGGAGGAAAGGAGGGAGAAGAACTCAAAGTGATTATTAAAAATGTAATAAAGAGTCAAAATGAAAATATGCAACTTTTCCAGATTGTGAGGTGAAAGCAGTAGTCATTAATAATCGTTGAACAGTTTAAAAATATTTTTACACTGACAGATATCATGTGTGATTTTCTCATGTATAGTATATGTTGAAATAAATATACATTGTGGAATAGTTAAATCTACTTAATTAACACATGCTTAATCTCACATGGCTGTTATTTTTGTAGTGAAATTCGATTCCTCCCCACCCCCAGCTCCTATTCAGCATAGAGCTAGAATTACAAGTCAGAGCAATTAGACAAAAGAAATGACAGTCATATATACAGGAAAGAAGGAAGTCAAGTTATTTGTAGATGATGCACTTTTATGTACAGAAAAATCCTAATGATGTCACCAAATAAATGGTGAGAACTACTAGATAAATTCAGCAAACTTAGATACAAGTCCAATATGATAAAACACTGAAACAAGGACACAGGATGACCCATTGCAACCATGATAACCACAATACAGTATATTGGAAATGAACTTTACAACTTTGGGGGGAGGGGAGGAGTGAGGGAGTTGGGAGAGGGAAGGGATAGTGGGAGAACAACAAGGGAGGGGGTAACAATGCTCGACAAGAAATGTACTCATTGCCTTACTCGTATCAGTGTAACCCCTCTGTACAGCATCTGTACACGAAAATAAAATTGGAAAAATGTGTAGCATCTCTACCTACAGTCCTCAACAACAAATTGCCTTTGACTCTGTGCAACACTGAGAATTGAACCAGTGCCTTGGGCATGCTAGGCACACTCTTCTACCACTAAGCTACATCCTCAGCCTTTATTCTGCTGGCACAGGTTGTCATGATATGGAGCTCCCCATCCGTCTGCCTCAGTCTCCCACATGCTGGGCTTACAGAAATATACCACAGCACACCACATTAATGTTCTTTTCATGTGTTCAACAGGAAAAAAAAAACCAAAATGGAAAACATGACTTCCTCTCAATCATTCACTGTTCAGATCTGCATTTTCAGTCCAGTGTTTGGTGTGACTGGTTTTGATGTGTCCAGGCAGAGAGCTGTTTGTTGCCCGAAGAGCTGTCAATAGTGTTCATTGATCAATTAATGTCATGCATACACAAATATTTGTCTGAGCCAGGCCTGCTCTTTGGTTAGGCACATTGGTAACATTGGGCCATATGTGGAGTCCATCATGCCAGACACAATCCTCAGAAACATGCTAGTGTCAGCAGACTACACAGGTCAGACATGAGCGCAGCGCCTGTAGAGGCCTGGGGACTGTGTTTCCAAGACAGTTTACAAAGCCGATGGATAGGCGTGGCCAGACCGACCTTCATGCATAAGCCTGAGGATGGGTCAGATCCGGGAGTAATGGCTCCCTTCAGTCAGCTCCTGAAATGGATGCAGAGTCACTCCAGCCCAGATATTTCTCGCCCTGTGCCACTGGCTTCACTTCAATGCAACTGCCGGAGATTGAACTTGCGTGTTATTTTCTTTTCCTTGAAATGTGACGTGACTAAGGATGATCCTGTGTTTCAATCTTTAACTGGGTTTCCAGCCCTGGCTTATTAAAAGTGATTTAGCTGAGCCCACAGAGCTTGAAGAAGTTCTTCTGCCCATCCCAATAGGTTGACAGAGTTGGTCATTGGGAACTTACCTTCAGTCTTGAGGTGGGCAAGGTGCACCTCCACTGTCTTTCCCCCTGCTGTGATTGGCAAAGTCTGCTGAAGAATTAACCTCACCTAGTACTTGATTTTTATTGCAGAATCATGTCAACCCTGCCATGGACTTCACCCAGACTCCTCCTGGGATGCTGGCTCTTGACAACATGCTGTACTTCGCCAAACATCACCAAGATGCGTATATTCGGGTAAGCAAGATTAGAATTCTAATCTCACACCTACAGGTACAGAGGTATTTGCTTTAGATGTGCAACTCCAGAGTTTTTGCCCCCATCCAACTAAAAAAAAATTAAAATTTACCATAGTAAATTTTTTTAAACTTTTGGATTTCTCCCTTCAGTGATGTTTAGAAAATTTTGTTGATATCAGGAAAATCTTTTAGATAGATTGCTATTGAGTTATGAAGAAAAAGGACATTTTAAATAACCAGGAAAAGAAATGAAGTGTTTACCAAAAATGTGCACAACCTTGGATTTCATGGAGAGCTCTTTAGACATATTAAAGTTAGAAAGAAGGCTCCAGTTCTTTCTAGCATGATGTATTCTTCTATGTCTCGTGCTAAAAATGCAACCAAGTAAATAAAAAGCAAGAGGAAAATGGGAGAGGTGGGACGAGAGAAACTTCCCATATTTCCTAGCAGAGTAGTCACGCTCACTGACCAAGTTGTCTTAGCGGTGTGGGGCAGGAGAAAGGGGAGGCCATTGCTGCTCCTGTGAAATAGCAGATCCTTCCTATGGACTGGGTGGCCCCCTGTGGGGAGGGCAAAGCGTGAGTGTGGAGCCTCGGGTGCCAGTGACATAGAAGGCTTGTCCAGCAGGTGGCACAGCTGTGAGCCTGAGATTCATGATGCTGCCTCTTCTCTGCCTTCTGGGAGAAGAGCCAGGGTGCAGAATGGATCCGAGTGAGATCCGGGAGGGGGATACACAGATGGAACAAGGGCACTGCCTCATGGACGAGCCACCCTCATAATTATGTAGAAATGTAGGAAGCATTTGATGAATGCATTGCCCCCAAATTAGAATCTGAGCTCAAAATCAGATTTGATCATTCCAGCATGAACTCCGACATTGTCTCCTGCTCGGTTCTTTGTGGAACTGGCTTCCTAGAGATCAAAGTTTAAGATTTGAACTGTCCCTGACTCATTGTCTCAACCTGGGCAATTCCTCTTGTCTGGGCTACTGGGAGACTTGAAGGCTTGAAGCTAGGACCACATTTCCCCAGTGGCATTTTTGAAACTTGGTGGGCATTTTTTTTGGGGGGGGGGTACCATGTCTAGCAGGGAATTAATGGTTACAATCTGTAATACAGGGGACCACCCTGCAGTGTCCCCTGGAATAAAGGCAGACCATAACTCCAGGCCCTGTCTGGAGAGAAGGATATGTCAAGTTTATATGACTTTTCTATACCAAGAAGCTTTGGTCTATTCTGAATTATTATTTGTCATCTAAGTAGATTGGAGGATTACAGTCATTTGCATGGTCAGAAATGCAGCTCTCCTTCAGAAAACAGTTTTGTTGGTAATGCTCTGATTTGTCTTATATATGTATGTCTGTTTTACCTACATATTTTCTAGGAATATAATCTGCTTTCCTGGTAAGCCAATTAGTATTTTGGGGATACCATGTGGTCTATTGCCTTGGAGACTTAAGCGTGAACAGTGGAAGCCAAGCAGAAATTGAGTTTGCTGTCAACTGATTAATGGGTGGGAATGAATGTCTCTAAAATTAGAGCTTATTGATGCTGACTGTATTGTTTGTGGCATAAAAAGCACGTCTCCTGAAAATTCAGTTCATGTCTTAAGCCTATCTTGAATGCCATTCTCCAAATGGTTGTAAGTCAAGTGAGTATCATGGCAACGTAAAGGAACTTTGCATGTGACCAGGCCTTAGGAGACACACCTCTGTGTGAGGGAGAGGCTGGCCTGCTCACCCCTGTGCAGTGGTGTTTAGTGGTGGCAATTTGTGTGTCAAAGATGGAAGGCTTTCATTTCTCTCAAGTGTCCTTTCCCCATGTGTCCAACCCCTCTTGTGACTGGGAATTAACTAGTAAGCAGGAAGTTAAAGCTACTTAAGTAAGGGGATCGAGGCCCAAGGCTGTCTGCCTGGCAGGTTTCTGGCTGCTGACTTTGGAGAGAGACATCTATAGTGATGGAGTGCTAGTAGCACAGGGTAAAGATTGTAGTGCTGCATAGCTTGTTACATTGTGATCTACGAGCTGGATGTCTTCTTTTGAAACATAAAGCGGGGTTTATTTGGTAAGTTTTCCATTTTGAGAAGGTAAATCTCCTCTGTGGATGCAGTTGCTTGCTTATTCATATCTTTCATTTGATAAATACTTATTCTGTAGCCAAATGTCGGCTCACCATCCACTTTCTCTGCCAGCCAAATTTATGGTTGAGGTTTTCTGAAAAGAAATTCTAACACACACACACACACACACACACGCGCGCACACACACACACACACACACACACACACACACCCCATTCATGCATCCACTCACAAAGATGCACGCAAGTACATGCAGGCAATACCTATACGTGCACACACATGCAGACAATACACACATGCGCACATTTATGGAGACATAATGCACATGCATGTGTGTGCTTACTCATGCACATTCAAGCACACATCAGTCTTTTGTTCTGTATGTCTTGCTTCTCAGCTGGACTGTTACTTGCTCCCTAGTAGCTCTCTCTTCCTCAGCCCATCAAATACACTCGACTCCAGGAGTCTAGCTGTGGACTTGTTCAGACTGTGCGTGTTACCTGAGTATGGTAATTATCATTGCCAGCAATCAGCTAGGTGATGGGGGCACCTAGGGGACCAGGTTGGTACTAACTGCTGTCTAGAGATGGTCGGGCTGGGCACAGGTAGGGTGGTATGGGGTTTAACAGCAAGTGTTCAGCAGTATCCTCAGCACTGGGTAGGCTGGGGATGGAGATAGTGGACATGGATATGGGATCACAATAGGAAAATTTTTAGGAGGAAGTGGAGACAGGCTTATTACCACTGGGTAGTTCTAGTTAAACAGATGAAGGGGGGGAGCCTTGGAGGCTCCAAGTGGTGGGAACTGTGCGGGCTTTGTTCAGAGCCAATCTGTGCAGCATAGCTAAGATGGAGTGGCCCATATGAACGTGGCTTGAGGAGCAACTGTGAGATAGTTCATTAGGGACATTTGAAGCCTGGTGAAGTGCTTGTTTGAGCCTAAACACTGTGAAGTATTTCTGATTTTTTTCTTTCTCTTTTTTTTCTTTTTTTTTTTTGTGTGGTGATTCTGGGGCTTGAACTCACCTCTCCACTTCTGGTGTTTTGCTAGTTAATTAGAGAAAAGAGTCTCATACAATTTCCTGCCTGGGTTGGCGGCTTTCAATCTTAATCCTCAGATCTATACCCCCTAGAGTAGCTAGGATTACAGGCAAGAGTCATTGGTACCCAGTTTCTGAAGTGTTTTAAGTAAAGATGACAGAAGCAATTTTTAGAGAAAAAAATCACTCTATCTTAGAAAATCAAGATCAGAAGCAAAAATAAAAATTTAGGATATAGTAGAGGACCAGGAAAGTAGTTGGGGGAGGAAAGAGACAGTTTGGTTAGAACTGTCCTTGAGGAAGTAGATTTCTGACTTTGGGGAATGGTGGGATAGTGGTGTCATTAATGCATTAGGGAATGCTGACATCACTTTGTCATTTGGAGTATCCAAGTGTGCGTGTGTGTGTGTGTGTGTGTGTGTGTGTGTGTGTGTGTGTGTGTGTGTGTGTGTGTGTTTGGTCATTTGCTTGGGTATATCTATGCAAAGGACAGTAAGATCCAGGCAGCAGAATTCCAACCCAGAGACATGCTACCTTCTCTGTGTCCCAAGTCCTGAAACAATTTCACTTCCCCTAATCTGTCAACCATATGGTTGTATTTTACATTAATGGCTTCCCTGTGGAGGTCTGGTATACTCAAATCACCTTCTAAGACAGCTGCTGATGTGATCTTTCCAAACTTGTTCACAATACTTTTTTTCCACTGTAAATCAGTGCAACCACTATGGAAATCAATGTGGAGATTCCTCAAAAGACTAAGTATAGAACTACCCTTTGATCTAGCTATACTACCCTGTCCATGTTCATTTCTGCAGTATTCACAAGAGCCCAGTTTTGGAAACAGCCCAGATGCCCTTCAGTGGATGACCGGGTCAAGAAAATGTGATATACACAGATACACACACAAGTGTGTTTATTTACAAATATATGTTCAGATACATATGTAACTGTACATATATAAACACATGATGGAATTTTACTCATCCATCAAGAAATATAATATTAAGTCATTTGAATGGAAATAAATGGGCCTGTAAAAGATAATATTAAGTGAAGTACGTTAGGTTTCAAGAGTCAAAAGGGACATGTGTTCTTATAACTAGAAATTAGATCTAAATTATAAACATATATAAAACCTATACAGGGCAATATGCATGTCTACACCAAGAAACAAACTAAAGGAAAGTATATACCAGGGAGGAATTCCACAGTGTAAATCCTCTGAACAACAAACTTAAAGTTAAACAAAATGAATCCCAGGTAGGTGAAATGTGTTGCCAGAAGGTAAAGTCAAGGAGGCCAAGTGAATAGAGAGAAGAATGAATACAATCATAATACTCAATGTACATGTGTGAAAATAGGGCCAGGTGAATGGATGGGATTGGGAAAGATGGGGAGAAATAGGGAAAGGGTGACCGTGATCAAGATGCATTATACTCATAAACATGACTATTGGTTAAATTGAAGTCCCTTTGTTCAACTACTTAAAGATAGTAATAGTAATAATAATAATAAAATACCCCAGAGTGCCTCAGTGACCCTCCTTGGGGCCCCCACCCATCTCTGTGCCTTTATCTCTTGGGGTTTCCTCCTCATCCTCCTTACTGCCATCATGCCAGCTGTTTGCAGAATGCAGGCCATCCACACCAGGTAGGTCCCAACCCCTCCTGTTTTATGTCACTCCTTTTGCCCCTGCTTGCCGGGGCAAATATCTCCTCTCTGCAGAGACTTCCTGACCCTACCTGGGTGACTTTATCAACTGTCTTTGGACCCAGGACACACTTAGACTTTAATTGTTGTAACCATTTATAGCTTTACGTGTATTTACCTCTGCCTCCTCTAATAGATTAAATGCTGCATGAGCTAGCCCTTAAGCTC